GAGCAACATTTGCAAACATTAGCTGGTTTTAGCTTTACAAAGATTTGCTGCTTTTTCTACTACAACACAAGCAAAAGCATTACTCACTTTCCACTTCTTGTTGATTTACACTATGTGAGTGAAGAATGGCAAAAGCATTTTATATTTATAACAAATGGCCTCGATCATTAGGACGCACAATCTCCTGAAATAAGGCTAGAAAATACTTTGTTATTATTTTGTCAGTCCTCCGTCCTCCTCCGTCCTTCTGTGTTGACCTGGTTAAGTACAAACTAATTAAATCAGACCTGGCAAACATCAATCACAGCAGTAGACCCCTATCAGCAATCAATAACACAGGGACTGTCTGACTCTCATCAAGCCAAGATGTCTTTATTTCTTTTACTCTATCATGTTCCCCTAGTTTAGCTCCACCTGTTCTTTAAAAAGGTCCAGTAAAAACCACTTATTAACCTGTGCTGGGATGCAGAACTGGAAATGCAACTAATATTAAAAGTTAATTTACCTGCTGCAGTTTATACTCATCCTAAAAGTTCCAGAAACAGACAAAAAGTCTGTAAAAGAATCTGTTCCGCTAGGAGCCTCTGTGAAGCTCAGAACAAAATCATGTAAAAGTAAGTATATAAAGGTATGAGAAGTCTGTACAGGGTTATGAAAGTGCTGTCTGCTGTGAAGGCCAAATCACAAGGAAATTCCATCTACCTTCTTTTGCACATGACAGCAAAACAGCAATAAAGCTATGAATCTGAAGCTATAAAGAAATGCAGACTTCTAAAGCAGCCTCTTATTCCCAGGCCATGAGCAGTCTGGTTGTGGACTGATAACTTTGGAGGAAGACACACGCTGTTACATATGCATAAGTACACACACACACCTACACAGAGCGCTAGGTGCACTGGTGTACGTTGTTCATATTCAACTTCACGCACGACAGTGGCGCTTCCCCTTTTAAAACCTCAGGGTGTTCAAGATGTCTTCACACAACCCTCCTCAATTTCCTCAACTATTTTCTTATCCTTCAAAGTTGCTCTCCAGAGCCTGGCAAACCGACAGCTGAAATACCGTTCTCTCACAGGGCTCTGAAGTCCTGTTTGTAAAGAAGCCACAGCAGCTCTGACAACATTCCTAAAATTCTTGGTCAGAAAAATGGCCAGGTCGTGGTATTTTTATAAAAGACAATTTCAACAAATTGTTCTGTGCTTGACAGTGAATGAATGGCAGAAAGGCTCAAACCAAAGAGAGAACAAGTGCACACAAATTTTGAAAAAATAGGGACAGATGTGTGTCTGAATGTGCAAACTTATATGCACATGCCTCTGTGCCTCTGGGCCCATGCACCAGCAAATTTACCTCTGTGTCTGCTTTGATTAGTCAACACTACATGCAATGTTGAATTCTTCCCAGTATGCATAAGTGGATATGAGAGCATGCAATGACACAAGAGCGGTCTGCTAGAAAAATGAGAGAATGACCAGAGTGCAGCTGTTGACAAAGGCAGAAAATGGCTCTTGCAGTAGGGACATAGAGGAGGACTCAGACACTAATAAGAAAAGCAGGTCTTGAGCTGGGATTGAAATGCTAAGATGGTATGATTTCTTAAGTTGGCAAACTCCTGACAGGCAAAGCTCTGCTCTATTTCATTTCTTTCAGAAGCAGGAATTCTTGAAGTCTGTGACCACCGACTATGAGCACAATTCAAGACCCAGTGTATTAGCAAACGACGCTTTTTAATGATTTGCGAGTGGCACAATAACACCATGTATGTAGTTAGTGAAAAAAGAAGAAAGTGTTTTCTCTCTAAGCTGTGGTAGCTTCATAAGGAATAAATGGCATTTTCAAACATTAATGCTGATTTCAAAATTATTCACCTATGTGAGGAGACTGTCCTCAGACCCTGCAGGTCATCTGTACAAGCAGACTATTACAAGTGTAGCTGTGTTTTATTGTTAACAGACATCTAGCAGTCATGTGAGACAGCATCGATTCTTTCAGTAAATGCCCCCACACAATGCTTATGCTCTAATGACAAATCACTCTATAGTCAGGTGACATTACAAAGCAACAAAGTCCATGTAAAGAGGAGGTTTAACTCTGTTGGTTTCCCTTTTCAAACTGAGCCAACATTGTTTTTTATAACCATAATCATGTGCTTATTATTGTAGTCATGATGACATAGGTCTTTTATCCTTAACAAAATATTGCATGTACTTACTGTATATAAACCCAAGAGTAATGGGACGGGGGCAGAAACTGGTTTGGTTAAGGCATAAACAATCGCTCATTTAGGCTGGAGGACATGTTGGTGCCCTGGGCTGTGTATATGTGTGTGTGTGTGTGCATGGAGTGTGGCTCTGTGTGTGCATCTACGCGAATGTGGGCTGTGCAATTTTTAGAGCAAGTGGTGTTGGTTGGTGGTGGTCGGCAGTTGCAATCACAATGCAAATCACCTGAGCTCAAAAGAACTGAAAATAAAAATAGATCAGTTTCGACTGCTTGGCAAGTTACTGAATGTCACCACGCACAATTTAGAAGAACACAACCAAAGAAACTTTAGTTTGAGGAAGCAAATAATGGGCCATTTCCATTACAGCAGTGTGGCTACGGAGGGTTAGAGACCTTAACAGTGCCTGTAATGACCTCAACCGATGACTACAGACACATGGCGGTGGCCCTGCAGGAAGTGATACTCAATTCTGTGACTGCTTTTTTTTTTAGCTGCTTGTGAAAATGAAGTGAGAAACTGATCTATAGGCGTAGTGAAACTGCTCTGTAAAGGGCAGGTGACCATGTCAAGAGTACAGACATACAAAAGCACTTGGAAGAGAGCATCCATAAATACTGTTAAGTGCCAAACGCAAACAGTTTTCTAAGTCTTCCAGGCTGTTGTTACAGGTAAAGAAGGCTTTCCATTGTGACTTGTGTGCCGCCCACAAGCGAGATAACGGCGACACAGCAATCACACTGTGATGAATGAGCTGTGATAGGCACTGAAAATTGCTCCTTGGTGACTTACGAAGTTCAGTCCAGAGACTCTGTATCTCAAAAGTGAAATCAAAGCTCTGTTCTCCAGCCAATTCTTTCTTTCGCACCTTCTTTTTGTTGTGAAAACACTGTCTCATTTGTACACCCCCTCAATCCGAGCACACATCTCCCTCCGTCCCTCTGCGCCCTTCCCATCCTGTGTGAAATGAACTGTTCCATCTGAATCCTAATCAGTCTCAGTGAGACCAGTGAGTTTGTTCAGTGGCAAGATATGGCAATATGTCCTTCGCTCATTCCCATGGCTCGCAGTTGATAAGCCAGCCACTTGCAATAATACACTGGGCCAATTGCCTCTGCTTACAAGCTACTTAGTGTCTTATCGTCTGACTCATCAGCGAGGAGGAGGAGCTGGGCGAGTGTGTGTGTGTGTGAGAGACTGTATTTGTGTGTGTACTGAGTAATAAACAAAGGCATGACTGAAAGCATGAATGGTTTAACACAGCTCCTACATAAATCCATCTATCAGCTCTGATGTTTTACAGCAGCACATCAACATACAGAAACTGTAAAACAGAAATGAGCTTATTAACAGTAGTGCATTGTTCTCACAAGGCCCAGAAACACATCTGTTCTACTGATTCAAACTAGTAGGTGATTAATTGATGAGTGATTGATCAGTAATAAGGACATGCATGCTGGGTCAACCATGATATAGCACGACGTGACTGGTTTTGCAAGTGATATAAGGGAGTGCAATATACACTCACCAGCCGCTTTATTAGGTACACCAGTACAATTGGTGTCTCCATATTTTTGTCCTCCCCAGCTACATATATAAGAGGGTCAGAATATTAGGAACACCTCTAAATATAATGTAGTCCGATACAAAACCACCTTTAACTATGACCTCAATAATAAACATATATTTGAATTTATACATTTAGGACAATTTCACCAAAAATGGAAAGATTCTGAGCGTCATAAACACAGATGTTAAGGCGGAAGTGTTGCACTGAATTGTATACAATTGTGCAGGTGTACCTAGTAAAATGGCTGGCGAGTGTACATTTCTGCTTTAAGGTGTGGCCGGACAAAAGTTTGTTTCAAGTATCCTGAACCTCTGCAGCTTCTTTTCAATCATTAAAGAACGAGACAGGGTATGTTTAAGCTGCATTGTGTGTTTAGTCTCTATTGTTTTTTCTAAGCTCACTCATTATGAATTTTGCCTGGCAATTTGTGAAATAACAACAATCAGAGTGGGAGAAGTAATTTTGAGTTTATGTACCGTTTCCTTTGTTGTATTATGTAAAAAATAAAGATACTTAATTTATCTGGGTTCTGCTGCAAAAATAGACCACATCAGTTATTCTATTAGCTTTTACGGATTTGTAGATTATTGTATTACCATGACAGGCAATTAAGGAAATTGCTTAAAAACTGGATCCCTAGTAACAGGTAGCAAAATAAAAACAAGCGCTCACAGGATCTATATACAGTGAGGAACAGAAGTATTTGAACACCCTACTTATGTATATACTTATGTTCAGCTGTGCAAGACAAATAAATTCTTTAAAAATCATACAATGTGATTTCCTGATTTTTTTTTTTATTCTGTCTCTCAGAGTGGGAATGCACCTACAATGTGAATTTCAAACCCCTCCATGATTTCTAAGTGGGAGAACTTGCAAAATCGCAGGGTGTTCAAATACTTCTGTTCCTCACTGTATACAGCAGAGGTTGAGGATGGTTGACATGGTGAATTATTAGCTCCTGCTGCTGCACTGTGATGTAGACTCATCTGAAGTACTCAGGGCAAAACAATCGCGCAGCATCAGTTGCTCTGATCCCGAGAGGACTGAGTTTGGATCTGAAAATACAAAATGAGTTTTTGATATGGTAATTGACTGTCAAGCACAGACTGTCAGCCACATGTAGCTCGGCCTAGGAGTAGAGCTAATAAAATGACATGGGCTCCTGTTGATGTGTGCGTATCAGTGTGCCTACAGTACTACACTTACCAATATTGTCGTGATGGTGAGAGTGGTATTGAAGAGGGTGTCCGTCACATTGATTGATGGAAGCTTTCTCTCCATGGACAGTCCATCCTCAGAGTGCCACAGGCCAATCTGCAAACACACACACACACACACATATATATACAAACACATCAGTCACTACATCCATCAGCTAGAAAAAACAACAGAAACCTTTTGTGCCTTGTTTTTCTCTAAAGGAGACTCATTACGACCTTCAGAGAAGATGGTGTAAGACAGAGAGAAACAGAGGACAAATCAGCACAATGAGAGACAAGGTTACAGCAGAAGTTAGCAAGGCTGCAGGAGGGAACAAAGATAACATGTGTGGCTCCTTGAGGAGCGAACACAAGGCATGTGTTCAATCAGGGGCAACAGAATGCATTCATTAGACCAATTACCGGCAAATCCTGTGGCGCAAAGCCACATTCTCATTCTCATTACAGCTCAAGTGGGTATTCACACCTCCACCTCACATGGTGTCTTGCCTCCCATCCCATTTCAGTCCGTCTCTGACATCTCCTGTTTCATTCATTTATTTGCTTGAAAGCTTGTCAATCTTCAGCTCCACAATGGCAGCCTCTGTAAACATGAACATTTTATAAATCTACTTTGCCTCTTGCTATTTTCAGGTATATTCACATTTTTGTACCATAATGGCATTCACAGAAAAAATCTTTTATGTGTTTTTTCTGATAGCTGTGAAAACTACAACCCTGCTGTCTTTCCAGGTACTAGATACAGTGGAAAATGTGGTTCAGTGAGGCAAAGAGTGCTTTTCTTAGTTATGACTTGTCTACAAATTTACTCCCTGCCTGTGCTTAGCATCCAATGCAGCTGAGGAAGTTCAACCTGGTCTTCTACACTGCCACCGTCGGGTCATCCTGACCTGCTCCATCACCATCTGGTACACTGCCTCCACCACCAAGAAACAGAGAAAGACCAGAGCTGACTGCGGTGTATCATTCATATGGCCGAGAGGGCGATCAACTGGAAGCTGTCATCGCTTCAGGACACTGGAGCATGCAGGGAAATATTATGTACAACCCCTCCCATCCCAGACAGAAACCTTTCGAAAAGCTCCCCTCTGACAAGAGACTGTGCTCCATCAGGATCAAAAACCTCACTCCACAAGAACAGTTTCTATCCTGCTGTTGGCCTCATTGACAAGGACCAGGTCTCCCACTGACACACTGTCACATTAATGCTGCACAGTGCACATTCATTCCTCTTTTAATTTATAGTCTCAATTTGCATACATCAATTTATGAAAATCTTCATAATCTCTACATGTATGATTTCTTGAGCACTTATGTCTTTTCTTTATATATTTTCTGTGA